AGATAGGACCATGCATTCTCAAATAAGCAAAACAGACCTTAAAAAATTCCATGTGCAAATCTGGAGACATTTGTTCAACTTCCTTGCTTTTTTAAATGTTTTGATAGACACGGTTGATGTTAATAGAGAACTGGTATGTAACTGATATAATCACTCTTTGATAAACATCATTTCTTGTTTGAGATGAAAACTGCAGTTACTAGAAGAAGCTTCTAAAAAGAAATCAAGTGAACCTTCAGGAAGCAGCACCAGAAATCAGATTACTGCTTTCCCAAGAATGCAATATGCCTAAGAAGAAAATACTGTGCACATTTCTGGTTTTGGAAGCACCTAGGAATTGCTTTGTCTCATAAGGAGAAGGTCCAGAAAATCCAAAACAAAATAAAAAACAATTTAAGCAGGGCAAGAGTGAAAGTTATGATTTTCACTTCTGTATCTTTGCTCCAGGAGTTAATAGGGTTCAGAAGTGCTCAGTGTGGTCTATGAGAAAGCCAGTGAATGAATCTATAATTGCTGAAACCTGACTGCAGGGCTTGAGAAATGTAGACTTATGTGAAATCTGCTCTGGTCAGTCTGGGGCTATTATTGAGGATGGTGTCAGAGGGCTCACCAACCTCAGTAGGTCAGAACTAGTCACCTCAGCCATGCGTCCCACATCGCTGGTGGTGTGGATGATATATGAGGGCAGGCTGATGAAAAGCTTCTATTTAAATAGTATGTGTCACCTTAATGCATATTGTTTTTTTAAAAAAACGAATACTTCAAAGCTATGATTTCACATGCATTATTTCTAAAGATAAAGATAGGTTTAAAAAGTGAGTTAGGAGTTGGTTTAATTAGAAATATTAAATACATAATCACACAGAGGGTGGTACATGGAAATGACAAAACTCATGAATGGCTGACGCCTAGAAAACAATGCAGAAAATAATTTTCTTCTTCCATTGTTTTGATAGTTTCTTTGTTGAAATTTTTGCTATTTGTTTCCATTTACAAAGTACCTATATGCTTAAGGCAGAAAGTTTGGGGACCCAGAAAAGCTCAAATGAAAACAATAAAAATCAACCATAATGCTAGCACCAAAGATAAGCACAGTTAAGATTTTCTTTCTCACCCATCCAGCACTTTTCCCATAAAAGTGGAATTATGCCTTCATACTCTGTTAGACAGCATTTATTGTTAAGTGTTTTCCACTTAACGATAGCTGGTGAACATTTTCTCATGTGGTAAGCTTTCTTCTACAACAGCGACTTTATTGGCTGAGGAGTAGTCTCTCAGGTGGTTAAATCAAAATCTAATTTATCTCCTTCTGTTGGGAATTAAAATTGTTTCCACTTTTTCACTGCCATAAGCAATGCCCATCTTTGGACTTAGCACTCTGGTACATATCTCTGAGTATTTTAACAAATTCCTAGAGGGAGAGCTGCTGGTTCAACAGGATTGCTCATTATAAAGGTGTTTTGCTGAAAATTAGCAGATTACTGTATAGCAAGTTTACCATAATAAATTATTCCAACAGTCAGTTATGAGAATACTAATTTCTATAACATTTGCAATATATTATCATTAGCATTATTATTTTTTTAAAAATACTTTTACTGTTTGCCAATATACTTATATAACTCAGATTACTAAAGACGTGGAATGTAAAACTAATCATATACGTATTTAGAATTGATTTGTATTTTTTTCTTTTGTGAATTACCTGCATATACTCTTTGTCCTAATTTCTCCTGACAGGAAGCCCTAATATGATCATCAGACTTATGTGTGAGAATAGAATATAATGCTAAATGCCTTAAATATTCCTATCCCAAGAAGTACCTCACTTTACATTTCTTATAATTCTCTTTTAACTAAGGGGACAATCATTATTCTTGGGAGAGAAGATATAATTCTTTTATATTATCGTATTTTTTTTCTACCACATGGAGAAGATTTTGAAAAGATGAGTCAAAATAATTCATTTTTTAGGGGAAAACAGTAAAATGTGGTCTGGCCACTCAGCCTTATTCAACAAGTTCAAGAACACCAAGATAAGAAATGGCATAACAATGGATTCATTCCAATGATGTTAATGTTTGAACAAGGACAGGAAATACACACAATAAACTGTTGCAACGAGAAAAAATGATTCCTAGAATAATTTTGTGCCTATCAAGTTTAGAACACTAGATTTTCTCTGTAATTTTGAATCTTACTTATAACCCATGGGGGTGATTGTTAATCTTTATGAAGCTATGACAAGCTATCTTCTTGTGGTGAAGGTGGTGGTGGTGGTAGAGGTGTTAATGGGTCTAGATGGTGACACCACCTGCCTATGATATTCTAAAAGTGTCACGTGGGATGCAGTATGTTTTAAATAAAAAGAACAATTAATTTTATATTGAGACTTACTTGAGAATTTAAAAATACTTTTTTTAAAAAAAAGATTTTATTGGAGAATTGGGGGAGGGGAACAGTGCTGGGGAATTGGGGAAGGTGAACAGACAAGTAGCTGTCCTTTTGTTCTTCAGTCTAGTTGTGGAGGACGTCGCTTCACTGGCCCATGTTGGTATTATCATTGCACTCTTCCCGGGTTAGGTAGTTGCTCGCCGTCCATTGGACGGCCGCTCATGGCAGCTCACGAAATCTCACAACTGCTGCCAGCCAGCCCCACTGCAGCCTACACAGGCGCCGGCGACTCATGACAGCCCAGCTCCAGATTGAGCTGTTGTTCACCATCTTAGCTGTAGAGGGTGCAGCGTCACTGGCCCTCATTTGTGGGATCCGGCCAGGGGCCCTGCTGCTCAGAGCTGGTGTCTCAAGCCAACTCTTAACCAATGCGCCACTTGGCCTGTCCTTAAAATACTTCTTGACCAGTCAAACTCTCTACCTCTGGGTTGGCAATCAGTGTCCTGAACTGAAGTGGCTGAGACGAAAGTAGGATGTCAGGAATATCTTCAAATGTAATGTGTGCATTATATTATGAAATGCTAAATAAATTACTACTTATTAAAATATTCAGAAAGTTCTGGGCAAGCTATGAGAATGACAACAATACCCTATTTACTAGTTAAAATAATCTGCTATCACCCATTTTTTAATTTGACAGGCAATTATTGACCACTCATCATGTACCAAGAATTGTTTCATGCACTGGAAATATTATTAGTGAGTGAGGCGAAGATGAACAGCCATCCTCAGGGGGCTGGCATTCTGGTGAAGGATGAGCAGGGAGAGTGAGACAGGTAATGAACAGGTGAAAATGGATGAATGGGAAATGGAAAGTAGGGATAAAGGCTGCGATGAAAACAGATCCGGGGTTGGGATAGTGACTTGGTGAGGAGTGAGGCAAGGGAGAACTTTAAATGGGCGGTTGTGGACAACCTCTTGGAGAAGTTGACATTTCAGCTGACAGCAAGGCCATGGTAAAGAGTATTGTGAGCTGAGGCGAGAGCAAACGCAAAGGTCCAGAACCAATTTGAAGAGTTGGGGAACCGGAAAGGTCAGTGAGTAAGCAAGTGGGAAAGTGGGCTGAGCAGGCTGGTTCATGCATTGCCTCAAGCCTTAGTGAGGAGCTGAGATGCCATGCTAAGGATGATAGATGCCACTGGAAGGTTTTAGGCACAGGACTGGCATGATCCAATTTGCATTTTAAGAGCACTCCAGCTGTGTGTGGTGGGTGCATTACCATGGGTAAGAGAGGTGGCAGTATGACCTGTTGGGTTAACACTGTGGTCACCCAGTTGAGAGATGTTGGTACCTTGAACCAGGGGGCAGCCATAGAAGTGGAAAGAAGTAAGCCTCAAAATCCTGTAGTTCTTACGTTAAAACTTTGTGGCATTGTTCTGATACTGTCCATTGACTTTTTGCCCCTTCTTGTAAACTATAATATGTTTGAACTGCTACCATTCAAGTGCCCCATGTTGCTCTGGGCTTTATACACATTGTATCCTTATAACAGTTTCATCCCAAGCTCATGTGTAGGGAGGCGAACTAACCCGCTAAGGCCACAAAGCTAGTGAGGGGTCATATTAAGGTTTACCTCGGTCTGTCTGATTCTGATCAAGGCACAATTCTTAGCCAATACACTACAGTGTCTGCATTTAACCTACTGTAGGGGCAGAGCTGGCACAGCGGAACCAGGGCACAGCTGTTTCTCTAACGGTTCTTAGAAGGGAAAGACCAGCAAGATTACCAGAAAGGGAGGGTTTTATTCAAAATTCAGATTCCTGGGCCCTGCCTTGAGAATCAGAACCACAATCTCTAGGAGTGGGGCTTAGAAATGTGCATTTTTAAAAAATGCTCTCAAGTGACAGCAAAATGTACAGAGACTGCAAAATAGGCAGTCAATAAGTACTTGTTGAAAGAATGAATGAATACACTGGAAAGGTTCACAGGTAACTCACTCTCCCAGGCCCTGATACAGAGAATATATAAGCCCATTTTAGGGTGGGCCCATGCAGAGCCTTAGCTAGCCCCTCCAGGTCCACTCAGAAATTCACGATGTGACTGTACGGGTAAGATATACTCGGACCTTCTGGAAGTTTTCTATTTTAAATTATTACTCTTGATGCCCAGGTACTAAGACCAGTTTTCTTCCCAGCTGAGGAAATACAAGCCCCTCAACTGGTAAACACCATCTATTTTAAAGACAAAACATCTTTTAAAAAAACACACATTATTTTGACATTTTAGGACTTTCACACACGGGAGCCAGGCCTTACTCACATGACCACTTTACCCATTAGACACCATAAGCATAATGCCTCGGGCCCCTGAGGCTTTTAAGGGATCGCAAAACTATTTTAGTTTCTTTTAAAATCAGAAGAAAAACATGAATATATTCTAGCCTGAATTATAGTCAACATTTACCAATGCAGTTGCAAAATATAATTATTTATTTATTTACTTAAATCAAGACATGACCCTAGAAGGCAACAGTGCCAAGGGCACATGTAAGTCATAATGTGACTCTGCTTACTCACTGCTCCGGGTCCAGGTGATAGACAACTTACCTGGCATGCATTATACAGGAGCTGATGTTCAAACTTCTTTATCCCAAGAATGTTCTGGAACATCTCGTAGAGTTGCTCTTTGCTCAGGATCAGCTCGGAGGCTGCGCTAGCAGTCATCCGGGCCTGCTGCTTCCTGGGGTCTTCTTCCCCGCGGTAGATGGCATCAAACTTGGCCATCCAGGAGCTCAGCACCGTCTCCTTGCTGAGGCCATCGATCTCAGGCAGACTGCGCACCCTCTTCTCAATGTGCTTCTTGAAGACCTCCCGCGAGTCATTGGCAGAGCAGCCCCCACTCTGCACCATGCGGGCCACACGGTCACTCTTCAGGAACACCTGAGCAAGAACAGGGACAGGAAGGACGTTAGGAAGTTGGCCCTGGAGATAGATAACAGTTCCCAGGCATTGCACGAGACACCAGTGCAGTCACCTCCTGCCCCTACCTCTTAGCTGTGCGGACTCAAAGAAGTCATGCACAGTTTTTGCTTTTGTGTCCAAATCTGGAAAATGAGAATAACAGTATTGACCAGGTTGTTGCAAGGATTAAATGAGGCAGTAATATCTTGAAAGGCAGGGTACGGTAGATAGATTTTGAGCTCAGACTGCCTGGATTCTTTCTCTGCCACTTAGTGGCTGTGTTTCTTTTCGCAAGTTAATCTCTTTGTACCTCAGTTTTCTCATCTATAAAGTGGGGATAGTAGTCTCTGCATCACAGGTGTTTTAAAATAAAGACTAAATGAGTTAATATATGTAAACCACTTTAAAAAGTAGCCCATATTAATGCCTATGAGTTATTGTGGTTGTTATTATTATTATACATAAAGTACCTGGCATGATGTATGACTCATAGCACTCAAATGTTAACCACTATTTATATCTCATTTTATCCTCTCAGTGATACTCATCACGATTGAAATTGAATTAAGCACTTATGTATTTAATGAGTATCTCTCTTCCTGAAATGTAAACTCCGGGTGGTCAAGGGCTGTGTCCTTGTTGTTCCCCTCAGTGTCATCTGTCCCTCATATAAAGCCTGGCGCGTTGAGAGTGAGTGAACATATAAGGTAGGCATTACATTCAGTCCATTTTGTAGATGGAAAATCAAGACTCCAGAGAAGGGAAGGGGCTTGCTCTTGGTAACTCAAACTGGCTGATTATGAATGTAAGTTCTTTTGACTTCACCCTGGTTTCTTCCTTCCTTAAGGGTCCCCCTGCCTGGTGGAAAACCTTTGCCATCTAGTGGAGAACCCTAAGTTGTTTTGCTGGTGCTGCCTGCGTCCTGTACCAAGCCACCCATTAAGAAGAGTTTACTTTCACTCCAGTGCCGACCACTTGGAAGCTTATACAGCTACGTGGTTCTGGGTGCGATACAAGGTGGTGAAACTGCTGCTTCCTATTCACAGAGAGAAAACTCTGACAATTTGGAGCTGTGTCCCGGTCACACTTCAGAAGGTGCATAAATATCCTCCCAGAAGCAGAACAAATGTTCACTCCTCTGTCAGATTTCAGGAAATGCCCTTGTTGGCCATGAAATGGCACTGCTTGGGGTGCATCTCATCACCTCCTGCTTCCTCCCAAAGCTTCCTTGGGGAAGACAGACATTAGAAAGGTAGCCTCCATTTACTGCTGACTTAATGAACTCACTTAGAAAGGAGGAGGGCTGAGGGTTTGATTCATGGGCTAGAGGCAATGGCCCGCTCGCCTGTTCCTGGGAACTGGTACTCAGTTGAGACCTTAGAGTTCATTTAAAAATCAATTTTAGAAAAAAAGTTTCAAATAAATCCTCAGGCTTTATAAGCCTTAATGAGCTAAAGAATTCATCTGAAAATTTGTAATGCTTAATACAGATGGTTTCTACATTGTTTCTCAGATTTAGATCTAGATCTCAAAGAATATCAAAGTTTTGAAGCAAATAGAGGAAGTTTCTAGAGAAGCAATATAGCAGGAGCTGTAAACCATGGCCCCAGGCCAGCTCTACCACCAACTTGCTGTGTAACCTTGGGTAAGTCACCTCCCCTCTCTGATTCTCCTGTTTCTAATGTGTACATTGAAGGAGTTGAACTATAAAATATTAGGGTTGTTCTTCCAGCTGTAATGTTTATATTCTTCTTTAGGAACCTGTTTTTCCTTTTTTGGGGGTATTCAGTGGGTAGAAGTCACTGTCCTAGGTGCCAAGGGCACCATAGTGAGGAAAACAGATGCCTGGCAGCCTGCACCCCTCCATGACATTATTTTAATAATCCCATGCAAATATCATGACAATCTGGGTTAAGAGCTATCAAGGGAAAGTCCAATCAGGAATCTTTTCTAATGTGTGGCCGGGAAAGCCTTCCTGGAGGAACACTCCTTTGAGATGATATGTGAAAGATGGTTGGGTATGAGAAAGTGAGAGAGCATTTCAGAGCGAGTGAACAATATATGTAAAGACCCTGAGGGTCTGAGGAAATACGGGAAGTCAGTGTGGCAGCAGCAGTGAGGGGTGAGGAATGACCGATGTCAGGTAGGCACAAAGGGGCCAGATGGCCAAGGGCATGCGAGGCCACTTTGGGTATGTTGGTCTTCATTGGAAGGACACTGGGAGACCATTAAAGGTCTTAATTGGGACATGAGACAATCAAGGTCACATTCTCTGTCTTTAATGAAGAACACAGACCTGAAAGGAGCCGTAAGAATAGGCAGGCAACCAGGGTGGGGGCATTTGTAGAAATACAGGTGACTGACGATGGTAGAGGGGATGCAAAAGGGTTAATTCTTTGTTTTCAGTTCATGAACATGAGAGATGACTTGGAAACATTTATTTAACAATGAAGCTGTACTGTCTTCCTCAATGTACCACAAAACTGGGGCTGGCCCCAGCTGTAAGCCCTCAGCACCACACTCCGTTTCCTCAAAGACCTTTCAGAGCTCCCTTTTGTCACCTGTTTTTGTGACGCTTTGGTTACTATCTGAGTCCCAGGAAGGCAGCAATTACAGCTGTTTTTTCCTACTACTTCTCCTGAGTATTTAAGACAGTGCATGGTACACAGTTGGTACTATATTGAATGAGTGAATGAGTGAATGAATAAGAGCAAAAGAGGCTTCTCAAAGCAGAGACCTTATTGAGATTATATCTACATGGGGGCAGGAAAGTAAAGGGGAAACCAGCAAGTACAATATATTGGTCTCTTAAAACAATTGAGACGAGATATTCCATGGGACCTGATAACAGGTGGTAAGAAATGAGGATGTTGGCACATTGGTGCCTGCTGGTGTCCATAACCTGCTGGGTGACTCCTGGGTCCTGCACACATCATCTGCTTCACATAGTCTCTTCCTTTGTACATAGTGGCCACTCAAAAAATATCTGTTGAACTACTAGTAGATGACTTTAAACAAGTCACTTAACCTCCACCAACCTCACTCTCCTTCACTGTCACACAGGGTTAATCCAGACAGCCTTCGCTGATGAGAATTAAACTGAAAAAACTTTTAAAAGTAGAGACTTCATCTGTCCAGAGTTAAAATATGGTTGCCAGACCCTGGCATGAGGAGAGATGAGTGGAATGTCAACAGTGTGGAGGAAGGAGGCTGAAGATTGAGGCGACAACAAAGATGAAGGGCCCAGAGGAGGCAAGACAGCCCGGGAGATAAAGGTGGCAGAAGAAAACTAATTTTTCAGGCACATCATCTGTCTTGGCTTCTGTCTGTCAGAGGGACGTGAGCCTGGCCAGTCTCGCCCCGTAGTGAATGCAGCCACTGAGGACTGAGGTGCTTCTGTGCCTCTAAAACCACTCTTGACACTCATTTGTACTGAGAGCTTAATCTGGTGTTTTTGTTTTCTGTTTTGTTTTTGGCAGTCTCTGCTGTCGCAAGAGACTTTCTCCCCCGGCACAGTTCTATGTGGCACATCCATAAATCCTCCCTACTCGTCTGCCAGCTTCCAGATAGGTCATAATGGGAGATGGAAGATAAACAAGTAAATATGAAATGGTGAAGGGCAGTCAGTTCAGTGACTTGACCTCATCCATCAGCCCTTCCCTCCATCGCCAGAGCCAAGCGAACTCAAGGTTATTTTAGAAACCCACAAGCACATAAGTACTTAATGACCGTGCATGGTACAGGGTGAAGCTGGCCCAGCTCCCACTTCCTGCTGACAGGCTGAGAAACCAAGTCAGGCCCTTTCCTGCTCTATAAAAGCACAGCATTCCGACATAAATTAGAGAAGACCTAGATGTTAGAGTAAATGAGATTAAAAACCACACACACACACACACACACACACACACACACACACACACACAGTAACCTGGTTGCTATTAATGAATGACACACGGATAACAGGAGGTGCAGGCTCTAGTGCCAGGTGGCCTGGGTTCAAATCCTGACTGTACCAGTAGCTAGTTGTGAAATCCTGAACAAGTTACTTAATTTTTTGAGGAGGCTTCAGTTTTCTCAACTCTCAAATGGGAATCCTAACTACCCTACCTTGTAGGAGCTGGGTAAAGACTCAATGAGACAGTGTGTGTCAACTGGTGAGCATGGTGCCTGCTCTAAGAATGTAATGAAAGTTAGTTATTATTTTTTAATAGGCTGTCATGCAGCCATGAAAAGAAATAATACTTTTTTCATTAGCATCAAAAGATGTCCATGATACACTGTTAAGTCAGAGACTTCCAATCGCAGGGGTGAGATGGGATTGGAGGATCGAAGCATGACCCTGGATGGAGAACATCTTAGGTAATAAAACGTTTTACTGATGAGAGTGTCATATGTGTGACTTCTGCAGAGGTAGAAAGGAGATTGAAAACCACTGTGCTAATGAAACAAGTGGGATATTAATATTTTCCATCTTAATATGGACATCAAATAGCTATCTTTATGTTTACAGATACATTAAAGTATCTGAAAGATATATCCCCAAATTTCACAGTGGTCATTTAGGATGATGAGATTACAGGTATTTTTCTAATTATTTCATCTAGATTTTTTCCTACACTGTCTACTTTTATAATTGGCATGTTTTACTTGCAAAATCACTTAAAGTGCCTCTTTCTATGTGAAAAAAATAAAAATTTACCTTTGTTGAGGCGAGATGCATGTTAATTTCTAAAATATAATGCACCTTTGGACCTTAAAGATATTCCTCACCAAAAAGTAAGGCGTCCTAGGGCAAACTTCAGGTGCAGACCTGAGGCCATGCCCAGTGGTAGGTGGTGGTAGGTTAGGAGCAAAAGCAGCCCCCTTCCCCCATCTGCACTTCTTTTCCTTGCCTTGACCTTGTACTTCCCTTATCCCAAACCCAGGCCCAGGAACTTGGGAGTGGATTGATTCTATCGACTTTCAACTCTCTTGTATTATTTCTATGCTCCAGATGGACACCACACCACCATTCTCTCCCTCTAACCTTCATATATTCATAACGTCACTTTCCAGGTGCTATATTTAGGATGAGGTTGTGTGTGTGTGTGTGTGTGTGTGTGTGTGTGTGTGTGTGTGTACAATTTAACCCTGACAACAATTATGCACAATTAGTCTTATTACAGATGAAGAAAGTGAGGCTCAGACTTGGCTAGTATCCCAAAGCCACTGTGCAGCTGAATTAGAACTCAACCCCACACCTTTCGGACACCAAACTCATCCTGATGACACTGACCTCTGCCTCCTCCTCCCTTGCCTGGCTTTCCCATAGGAATGAATGCCTTCAGAATGGGTAGTTACTCTTCTCCTAGGGATATGTCTGTTTTAAGGCCACTGATGAGTTGTAGTGGTTTGGCATATTGGAAAATATACAGCTTCATTTCAGAGAAATAGCCAGGTGTGACATGACTGCTACTTTTCTTAGATTAAAGAAAAAAAAAGTTCAATCATAAGGCTAAACAAAATTATGTCACCCTGTATAGAGGACACTTGCGTTTTAGCCTGTCCACCATCCTTCCCTTTCTGAACAGCACCTCAGTCTGAAACCTCTTTGTCATTACACAGTTTCAGTGGAACTGTCAGTCATGGAACCTTGTCCTTCCTTAGCCAAGTGGTGAGTTGGGACCTTAGCTTGGCCAATCACACTCCCCCTCCTGGGGTTCAGAGTCAGAGTGAGGTAGCACAGGATGGAATGGGGTTGGAGTAGATTCATACCAGTGATAGGGTATCCATTATATCCTGCTACCTGGCTTCCTGAAGTCAATCTGACCTGGTTTCCAGTTTTCCTTATTATTGGTTATTTCTTTGAATAACAACAACAAATAGTCATTGTTATTGTTATTATTAAGGCGTAATTTAACCACAGCCAGTTTCTTTCCTAGCAACTGAAAAATACTGCCTGATACAACATTCAAGGCTAGTTTGACAAAAACCAACTGGACTTTTTTGGAGGAAATCAGCTAAAAACAAAACAAAACAAAAGTCAATCAGAGCAGTTCTATCTGAAGCCCAGACGTTAGCTGCAGTGTTCTTAATGAGTGCTCGCACGTCTTCCTCCCTCTTCTATAGCCCACTTTCCACCTAAGCACCCCATGTTTCCTTCCCGGCAGGATCAGAGTGAGAAAGTTTTGGTAAAACTTTTCCATCCATCTTTTCTCTGATGCCAGGATCAGCATATGAAGGAATCAAAATTAAGCAGGGAGATGGGGAGGGGAAGGTGAGAATGGAGGCTTACGTTTTAGACATTTGTCTTAAAAGGGCTGAGAGTTAGAAAAGATGTGGAGGCCATGGAGAAATGGGTGGGCTTTTTGATGCCTGAGGATTATGACTGTGGAACCAGGTTTGGGTTGCTGGGACAGATCTCAGAGCACCCACCTCAATGCTCAGCCCTCAAAACCATGATGGAAGAGGTGAAAGGATTTGCTGCTCTGCCGGATCCTCTGACAATAATAAAAGTGAACTGGCATTTTGTGATGCTTGACCATAGAGCTGGTAGGACTGTGGGTGGAGCTGAGCCGCTCGTTAACTCTGTAATTCTGATTTTCTGTTTAACTTTGTGGTAGTTTCTGGGGGAGGGAAGTTAATAAGTGGGAATAGCCATCTTGAAAGAGAGTACTTTCTCTCCACGTGAACAGCCGGTGGGAGACCATGTTGAAGGTGTGCTTTCTCACACTGCAGTGGTAGGGTTTTTGTCCCCCCCCCCCGAATAAACCTTTTCTTTTGTGGATTATTTGGAGAGTTATTTTCATCAGTCAACAACAATCATGGCCACCAGGAAAGGATAAAAGACACCTATACGCTCTCAAGACCCATAGGGAACCGGGTCTCCATTCGTCCTGGCCCAGCTCAGGCCCAGGCCTCAGGCCTCACCAGCTTGCCGTTGGCTGGGCTCAGGATGGGCTGGGTGGCACAGAGACAAATGGCTCTTTACTACTCTAGCGTGTTAAACCATTTCTGCCTTAGTAAGACAAGACAAATAGCTGAAACTGACTTTCTACTGTGATAATCTCAGAGCTTTTTGAGGAAAAGCTTCTTTGTTTTTTGTTTTTCCTTAATGGCATTACCCTTGGTAACCTGGAATGTGAAGGTGTGGTATGGTGGGGTGGGGAGTGTGTGCGTGTGTGTGTGTGTGTGTGTGTGTGTGTGTGTGTGTTAGAGAGAGAGAGATTAAGAGAATATATGTGGGTTGTTTTCTGGCAAGCATACATTACTGCTTCTTCTGGTAAAGATCTCCCTAATTTCTTATTAGGAAACCATTGCATTTTCAATTCAAATAACTCCTGTGGAACTGAGCCTGTACTCAGGGTCTAGAAGTAGGATTTGTCCTAGGCCTGATTCCCCAGTCTGTTTCACCCCCTTCCATTGTAATTGACTCGATAAAGGACACATGACCTATGTCATTCCCACCAAGTCACCCCTGGGTCTTTTGTTGGCACTCTCGGTAAAGATGTATTCTCTTCGCTCCTGCAGTTGCTAAGTCAGTAGCATGGAGAGAACCTGCTTACAGCCAACACAAATGAAAGCAAAGCTGAGGTGTGCGGAGAGATACCCACCCTGCTGGCATCTTTGGAGTCTCAGGATTCAGCTACAACCACAGCCAAATCTACCCCTGGACTTTTTCGTTGTTTGAGCAAATAAATCTCATTTTTGGCTTAAGCCAGTTTGAAGTAGTTGTCTGTCATTTGTAATCCAAAGAGTCCGGACCAAGACAGATACTGACAGAAAAGAAATTGGATTTTGGAATAGAGTGGAGGAAGAGACGTTAGCTTCTCCATCGCCCAAGAATGAAGGGAAAGGGGGAAAGGAAGGAGTAATCAGACTGAGGCTCTCCCAGGTCAAGTGCTAATCCCGATCCTTTGATTGAGGTCCTTTGCTGCAGAGAATTAGCCTTTCCAGGAAGCGTGAATCTCAAGACACTCTAAGGCTTTACTAATGAATATGGTAAATAATTAATACCCCACATTGTTTCCTGTTACCCAAATCTCAATATTAAATATTCAGTAATTTTTCAATGCCTCTATTCTCACCAAACTAAAGAGAAATCCTTTCAAACAAACTGGCCAATATAGAAGAAAATATTGGGATCACTGTAGATATAATGGTAATTTCCAGAGACCGATTAGCATGTTCATTGACTACTAATTTTCAAATTTAATCAATAGATAAAAATGGCACTTTCTTTTCATTTATGTCATTAGTCAAATGAGCTTTCTAATTAAGATTTGCAATTTCGAAATTTGTAAACTGGTGAATGACTTTAACCATGGAGAATTATCAGTAAGGGTCTGCCTGATCTGAACTGGCTTTTAGAACTTGAAAAAACGGGGAGAGAGAATTAATTTCACTCCCTGGCAGTTTCTAAACAGAATCTTTTGTAAAGTATATTCAAGTTATTCACTGCCATACCATCATTGTGATTCCAAACGTCTTTTCCACTCTCCATTAAATTCGACTGAAATATTGCATCACGTCAGAGAAAGCACTAAGTTTGACATTTATGGACAATAGTTAATACTGCTTGTAAAATGAAACAAAAAAAATAAACCTTAAATCTGACAAGTGTAAAAATGAACCCAAGTTCTAAAATAAATCTGAATAGAAATTTCACTGAGGAAATGATGTGTAAGAGGAGCCTGTGGCTGCATCCAGCCAACATCACAGAGACAGGGGCTGTTCACTATGACATGCTAATTAGCACACTAATCAATAATATTTTCACACGAATTAATTGTAATCTTGCTCCACTCTCTCCGTGAAAGGAGTCAAATGTTTTTGCAAGTGGGAAGGACAGTTTTACCAAATCACTCAACTCACATGGTTAAAGCATCCACTGAGGACTGGAGTGGAGGTGGGAGCGCCATTGTTTTTGTTTTGTTTCGTTCACACTCACATGAAAATAGATTAATATAAAGTGAAGTGTCTTTCAATGGTTAGATTATCATTTTTGAAAATATGCTTGTCAGTTAAACAGTGCCAATAGGAAGGCATGGCATGTCACCTCATTAATGGTGGACCAGTGATGGCCAACGTGCACGTTACATAAAAATAATTATAAAATTTAAAAATACTAGTGGAATTCCAAATTCACTTTACTAGTAAATAAACCTCTGAAGTCTAAAGGTGAAAAGTTATTTGTGATATACTCAGGATATAGTCTCTCACTTACAGGTTTTCTCCTGAGAATAGTACTGCATTTTGGATGGTGTTCCAATTTGCAGAAAAGACCTCACAGCACTATTTTAATAGAAAGAACAAGGAAACTACTGAAGGCATCAACCCTAGGAGGTATTTACTTCCTTTAGAAGGGGTGTAAGTGGTGGGAAAATGCTCCGGACTCACTTCAAGTCTTAGCTGTGGCATTTTAACAGCTGTGTGGCCTTGAGTAATTGCCCTAAACTCTCTGAGCCGCAATCTCTTCTTCCGTAAAATGGAAATAATAGCAGGACCTAACTCTTAAGACTGTTGTAAAGATTAAACAAGAAATCATATGTAAAGCACTCAGCACACTGACTGGTATAAAAATGAGTTGGTTAACAATAGCTTTTATTTATAGTTTGCCCCCAGACAGAATGCTATCATTTCTGAAGATTGCCACCACTCACCAACCCCTTTGGAGGAATGGTCCTTTAGAGGCCAAGGCTGCTGTTCCCACTGCCCAGTATTTCTGAGACCCTGAGCTTCAGGCCAAAGCAGTCTTGGCCTTCTTCTGCCTGGTGAGTCTTACCTCATAGTAACTCTGGACTGCGTTCATGAAGGCTTCATCAGCCACGATCTGGGTTTCCCCATTGAGGAAAGCCTGAAACCGGTCCTTGACTGTCTGCAGCTGCTGTTTGCTGATCTGTAAGAAACAGAGAGAGAGGGGACAGTGAGGACTTGTTCTAGACCACAATCATGGTTCCTTTTTGCTGAAGATACCAATGCCCAATGGTGTGCTGGAGCAGCCGGTACTGGCACGTGAGAACTGGTGGTTAAATTTGCAGTAATTTGGGGAAGAAGTTGATAATTTAAACACAGCCACTACTAAAAAATATATAAATTACAGTTAAATAAATTATGTTACAATGTTAATACTTACTAGGAATTCATTGCTTTTTTATTATTTTACAATTCACTATTATTTGTGCTTTGGGGGCTATTTATATCTATTATATTTGTATGGTGGAAATGATACATAATGGGGTACTACCCTACGTCTCTTCCCAACTCCACATTCAGTTATTAACTTATTGGAAGTTAGATATCAGACAAGTTAGAAGTAGTTACACCATGGAAATTGGAAAATGCTGCAAGTCAGGGTTTTGGGGGGTTTTTTGTTTGTTTGTTTGTTTTTTATTTTTAGAGATAGTTGTTAAGTACACCATGGCATAGGCCCCTCACATGGTCTGAAACATTCTGCTTTACAAAGTTATAGTAATCAAAACAGACACATAGACCAATGGAAGTGAATTGAGAGCCCAGAGAGAAACCAATCCATATATGGTCAACTAATATTTGACAAGGGATCCAAGAATTCTCAATAGGGAAAGGATAGTCTCTTCAATAAATGGTGTTGGAAAAATTGGATATGCACATGCAGAAGAATGAAATTGGACCCCTAGCTTACATAATTACAAAAATAACTCAAAATGGATTAAAGACTTAAATGTAAGACCCCAACCTGTAAAACCATTAGAAGAAAATGGGGAAAAGCTCCTTGACATTGTCTTGGCAATGGTTTTGCAAAAACACAAGGAACAAAAGCAAAATTAAACAACTATGGGACTACATCAAACTAAAAAGTGACAACATGGAAGGTGGGTCTAAGATGACAACGTAGGTGGAGACCGAGCTCACCCCCTCCCAATAACACATAGAATGTACACCTATATTTAGAGCATTTTCTCCTGAGGGTCAACTGTGAGCTAATTGAACAGCTTCTGCACAACAAGCCAAGAGAGAGGGACTGCATAGAGAAGATCAGGGAATCATGAAAGCTTTCCAGGAGTCCAGGGAACAACCCAGGACCAGAGAAACTGGTGAGTGCCATTGTTTACGTTTCCCCTGAACGTAGATAGCAGGCAGGAGCTCCATCCAGGTTCTCGAGCCAACTCAAGTGCATCCCCTGTCACCCCTCTGAGCTTAGGTCCAGCAGAAACAGGAAAGTGCTGTAGTGTGTATATAACGGGCCCCTGGACCTGGAGATTGATCCAACAAGTGGAGCAGGGTGCTGCTTCATATACCTACTGGGTTATGCATACAAGGGGCTCCCTGGCCTGAAGAGAGTGCAGAGCTAACAAAATGCTGCAGTAGCTGCCTGCAGGGCTAACCTGTCTAGAGAAAGTATGGGTCCTACTGCATGCTCGCATGGGCGTGTAGAGCTAGCAAAACTGCAGTACCCACGTGCAAGGCTACCCTTGTGGAGTGTGAGGGGTGCTGCTGTGTGGCAAGCAAGGCTGCCACTCCCAGAGGAAGGGCAGAGCTAATAGGGCATTGAGCAGCAGGCACACAGAGAAGCCCACCCAGACCCTTCTCTGGCTGTGGACAATTAAAGCAACAAGACGCAGGGCTGCCCTTGTGGAGTGAGAAGGGTACGGCTGAGAGTGTAAGAAGCTGCACTCCCAGAAAAGAGAGCAGACTAATAAAATCAGGTCTGTCCCACCTGGAGAGGGGGTAGAGCTGGTGGTGCACTGATCAGACCCTGCTCTGATCACAGACAGTTAAAGCAACAGAGCATGCTAAGAGTGCACCTGAAAGCCCTGTCTATATCAAGCAGCCCCACTCAGATTAAAAGGGCAAGGAAGCACACACACATACCAGGCTGCCCCACCCGGAACCCACTTCTTCAAGCCAGGTGACACATCAGGCACCACCTGCACCCACCCTGACTACAGCAAGCCTGCCAAAATGATTCAACACCCAGTCTACACAGAGGCCACTCTTTCAATACTAGGAGAGATAGCTATTCTAGCCAACTGATAGGAATAAACACAGAAAGTAAAAAAAAAAAAAAAATTGCCCCAAATGAAAGAACAAGAAAAAACTCTAGATAAAAGCCCTAATGGAGGTAAGTAATTTGACTGACAGAGAATTCAAAGAAATAGTCATAAGGATGCTCAACAAATTTGAGAGAGCACTTCAACAAAGACATAGAAAATGTACTAAAGAATCAGAGATGACAAATACAATAACTGAAATGAAGAATACATTAGAAGAAATCAACAGCAGATTAACTAATACAGAAGAATGGATTAGCGACCTGGAAGACAGAATAGTAGAAATCACCCAATCAGAGCAGCAAAATAAAAGAAGAATTTTAAAAAATGAGGATATTGTAAGAGATCTCATTATAGGGATTCAAGAAGAAGAGAGAGAGAAAGGGGAAAAAAAGAATACATGAAGAAATAACATCTGAAAACTTTCATAATCTGGGGAAGAAAACAGACACTCAGGTCCAGGAAGCACAGAGAGTTTCAAACAGGATGAATCCAAAGAGACTCACATCAAGGCATATTTTAAGTAAGATGGCAAAAGTGAAGGATAAAGAGACAATCTTGAAGGTGACAAGAATTAAACATCAAATCACATATAAGGGAAACCCCATAAGGTTATCAGCTGATTTCTCAGAATCAACTGTACAAGCCAGAAGGGAGTGTGGCAGGAGATATTTAAAGTGCTCAAAGAAAGGAATCTATAGCCTAGAATATTGTATCTGGAAAGGTTATCATTCAGAACTGAAGGAGAGATTAAAAAATTTCCCAGACAGGCAAACACCAAAGGAGCTTCCAACCACTAAACTGGCCTTACAAGAAATGTTTAAGTGTCTTCTTTATGCAGAAAAGAAAAGGCCATAACCAGAAATAAGAAAATACAGGAAAGATCTTACTGATAAAGGCAAATATACAATCATCACAGTGAATCAACCCCTTAAAAAGCTAATACAAAGGTTAAAAGACAACAGTAGCAAAATTAACTATAACTACAATAAATAATCAGAGGATACATGAAACAAAAAGATATAAAACATGATGTCAAAAACATAAAGAGTGGAAGGGGTAGAAAAAATGTAGTGCTTTTAGAATACGATTGAACTTAAATGCCTATCAGCTTAAAATAGACTGCTATAGATATAGATGAATATATATGAACCGCATGGTAACCATAACCAAAAATATACAAGACATACACAAAAAAATGAAAAGAAAGGAATCCAATAAAAAAGTGATAGACAATAGTCTAGTGATTACCAGAGGGTAAGGGGAGAGAGGGTGGTAGATGAGGGTAAAGGGGGTCAAATATATGGTGATGGACGGAGAACTGACTCTGGGTGGTGAACACACAATGTGATATATAGATGATGTATTACAGAATTGTACACCTGAAACCTATGTAACTTTAGTAACCATTGTCACCCCAATAAACTTTAATTTAAAAAAAAGGTGATAACATGTATGGACCTAGAAAGTATTATGTTAAGTGAAATAAGTTGGACAGAGGAAAGGCAAATACCATGTGATTTCACTTATATGTAGAATCTAAACAAAACAAAACTAATGAATAATCAAAACTAAACTGAAACAAACTCATAAATATAGAGAACAAATTGATGTTTGGCAGATGGAAGGGGGATAATGGGGGAGGGGGGTGAAAAAGGGGAAGGGGATTAAAAAGCACAAACTTCCAGTTATAAGTCATGAGGCTGTAATGTACAGCATAGGGAGCAGAGTCAGTAACATCATAATAACTATGCACGGTGACAGATGGTTACTAGACTTATTGTGGTGGCCACTTTGTAAGGTATAATATGTTGAATCACTATGTTGTATACCTGAAACTAAAATAATATTGTATATCAACTATAATAAAAAATAAATTTTAAAAAATGCAAAATCTTTGCATGTTCAACTTCAAAAATAAAAGCTTCTGCACAGTAAAAGAAACCATTAGCAAAATGAAAAAGCAACTTACAATGAGAGAAAATATTTGCAAACTATTGATCTGATAAGGAGTTAATATCCAAAATATATAAGTAACTCATACGACTGTATAATAAAAAACAAAATCTGATTTAAAAATGGGGGGAGGATTTAAATAGACATTTTTCCAAAGAAGACATACAAATGGCTAACAGGTACATGAAAAGGTGTTCAACATCACTAATCATCAGGGAAAGGCAAATCAAAACCACAGTGACCTATCACCTCACACCTGTTAGAATGGCTATTATCAAAAAGACAAGAAATAACAAGTATTGGCGAGGATGTGGAGAAAAGGGAACCCTTGTGCTGCACTGTTGGTGGGAATGTAGATTGGTGCAGCCACTATGGAAAACAGACTCATATGATCCTGCAAACCCATTTCTGGGTGTATGTCTAAAGGAAAGAAATGAAAACAGGATCTCAAAGAGATACTGGCACTCCCATGTTCATTGCAGCATTATTCACAGTAGTCAAAATATGGAAACAACCTACGTGTCCAGCAATAGATGAATAAAGAAGATGTCACACACACACACACACACACACACACACACACAAAATTAAATATTATTCAGCCATGCGAAGGAAATCCTGCTGTTTCCACAACTTGGGATGAAACTTGAAGGCATTATACCAAGTTAAATAAGACAAACATGGAAAAACAAATATATCTAAAAAGAGTTGAACTCAGAGTAGAATGGTGTTTACCAGGGGCAGGAGGGTGGGGGAAAATGAGGAGATATTGGTCAAAGGGTATAAACATCCACTAATAAGATTTACAAGCTCTAGGGATCTAATATACAGCATAGTGATTATAGCTAATAATACTAAATGGTAATTACGTGAGGGGATGGAGATGCTAATTAACCTTAATGTAGAAATC